GAGGTGTGGAGGCGTCGTGGCCTCATGGTTGGTGCGCTCGATTCCGGCCGGGGACATTGTGTTGTGTTCTTAAACAAGACACTTTACTCTCACAGTGCCTCTCTTCACCCAGGTATTTAAATGGGTACCGGCAATTTAATGCTGGGGGTAACCCTGCGATGGACTAGCATCCCATCCAGGGGGGAGAAGAAATACTCCTAGTCGCTTCATGCTACAGAAACCGGAGTTAAGCACCAGCCTGATGGGCAACTGGTTCGTAAACAGACTTTACCTTACCTTTTACATGAGTTTGAGGGATGGTTTTCATTTCAGTTGGCCCACAGTAGTTACAGAATGATTCTTTTTGTTTATATGAGCGTATGGTCACTAAATCTTTGTGATGAAATTTTGTGGGCCGAGGCCAGGAACGTGTTCGATAATTGAGTCAGTTTGCTAGACATAACGTCTCGTAGTCACGTTCGACGCACTAAAAACTACTATAAAACGAATACAAGAATTGTAAAAACGTGTAAAATGGTATATAAAAAGTCACTTGTAAAAATGTAGCGGAATTCCAAATCGATTTCGATCAATTACGATCCTCATCAGTAGTACTCCGCCATGTTTAAAATACTCATAAATAATTGTTCATATAAGTGACTCTGAAATGTCCACACTTCTTCCAGGCTTCATGTAAGCGGTCATGATGTATCAATCACAGCTCGTGGGATTTGAAAAAAGTTCCATTCGTTCTTGGAGTTCATAAGCGAGTCTTCGTTCACATTATTTATCCTCACTCCTTCAGTTATTTGTCTCAGCATCGCGTCATTGTGATAAACCCCCGTCACATCCATTCGGAACTGCTTTACCTCTCTATTGTGTTTCTCTTTACAGTGTTTCCACAATGCAGATCGTTCTTCCTTATTGTTAAGTGATTTCGTATGCTCTTTCCCTCTGGTATACGCGCTCCTGGCTGTTTCCCCTACGTATACGCTGTTACACTGGATACACTTAATCTCATACGTCACACTTTCTCTATCACACGGTCCTTTTCCACCTGTGCTACACACTGGGCAGTCTTCTCGTCCACACTGTCGCGGTTTAAATGGGTCGGACTTTTGGAGTAGTCGTTTAATGGCGATTCCGGCTTTCTCCACCACTTTAATATTGAAACCTTGCTGCTTTATTTCTGTCTGGTATTCCTTCCGTAACCGTGAGTTGGGCGTAGCTGGTACAAA